CATAACTATTTGTTCTTTTGGCAGTCCATGAGATAGTGGGAATTCCTGACAGCTGGAATAAGGACCAAAAACCCCCATAAAAAGGAAAAGGATACTGAGCATGACCACTATCCCCTTCTTCTGCACAGCCAACCTGTCCTCCATAGTGGTTTTAGTTTCTTAGTATTGCTGTAACAAAAACAACAACAAAAAATAATCACAAATAAGTGATTTTTCTATATTTCATGTAGATATGTAATGCATTTTCTTTCTCACAGTTCAGGAGTCCATAAGTCCAAATTGAGGGTGCTGGCTCTTGGCAAAGGGTTTCTCTGTGGAAAATACTTGCTTCAGTTTCTATTCCTCGGCTCCTTGGCATCTGTCATCTGACAACCTTCCCTTTTAGTTTGTTTGTATCTGAATTGCTCCTTCTATCACTCAGAGCTCTGCTGGTGAGGAGCTGCTCTGCCACTTTGAAGGCACATGGTTCGAATCCAGCAGCTGTTCCGAGGGAGAAAGATGGGCAGTAGTCTCCTCCTGTGTGATTTCCAACCTCTGAAAACTCTTGGGTCAGCTATGAGCTAATTCTGACTCGATGGCACATAACAACATCCCATAGAAGGGATTAAGTATAGGACATATCCTACCTTTGTGGACTGACATGGCCTTTCTTAACCGTGTTTTCAAATGACATTATATCCTCAGTCACAGGGGATGGGATTCTACATGTTTTAGGGGGACACACAAGTCAATCTCCAATAGTGAAATAGGACCTAGACCTCTGACATTACCCGCGATTACACATGATTAGCCCTTTGCACAGGCTGCAGGGTGGTTTTGCCCCGGGAAGCAAGAGGTCAGCTGGCTGAACTGGGGGCAAATCCTTTTCCCTTCCCCTGCATTTTCGGCTCGGTAAAAGGAGTTGAATGAAAGCCGGAGATTCCAGACAAAGAAGTCCTGCACGTGCTCACCCAGCCATTCTCCCTGCAAGGCATCCTCTGCCAGAGGCATTCTAGGGGCTGCAACACCCATCCTTAATCTCCTATGAGGGGAAATCACTGGAGAATGACGAACTGGAGCTGGTTCAACTTGGCTGCCTGTGGCTTGCAGCTCATCTACGAGTGAGTACAAATTAATACCATACACACGGGCTACATAAATATTGGGCAGTAATTGATTGTCTTCTGTAATCAAAGGCTGCTGACTTCCACGCTGACTTCTAGATTTCCTCTACACGCCACTGCAGGGGGAAGCCTTTGGGAGAAGAGGGCTCAGGTTGTGTGGTGTGCTTTGGAAAGAGGGGAGGACAAGGCCATTACCTTCAGATTCATCAAGTATTTGTCAAATGCTTCCTTCAGAGAGGCACTGAAAATACATGATTTCACTAATAATGTTGTTAGGTGCAGTCGCGTATGACTTATCGCGACCTTATGAACAACTGATCTGAACCCTGTCCTACACTGTGCCATCCTCACAATCTCGGACACTTTATTAAGCCCATTGCAGCAGTCACTGTGTCGATCCATTTAGTTGAGTTTCTTCCTCTATTTTGCTGAACCTCCACTTTTGCTATCAAGATGTCCCTTTCTAAGAAATTACCTCTCCTAGCAACATGTCCAAAGTATGTGAGACAAAGTTTTATTATCTTTGACGCCAAAAAGCACTCTGGTTGCACTACTCCCACATATTTGTATGTTCTTTTGGTAGTCCATGGGATGGATATTCAGTACTCTTTTCCATTAATTGAACTAATAATTTTATGTTGTTATTATTGTTGTTAGGTGCCATTGAGTTCATTCAAACTCATAACCACCGCATGTGACAGATAGAACTGTATAGAACTTTCTAGGCTGTAATCTTTACAGCGACAGATCTCCAGCTCTTTGCTCCCTTGGAACCAGTGTGTGGATTAAAATCACCAGCCTCTCTCTGGTTAGCTCCCAGGGCTTATCTGTTTGTACCACCAGGGCTCCTTAATAATTTGAAAAGTCACAAAAGTGAAATAGTCTTTGCAGTAACTATTTAATTGATATAAAAGAAACATTTATTAGTGGAATGAAAACATGTTGCCTTTAAAAAAACACTACATGTAAACTTTGTCAAGAAGACAAAAATTCTCACCACTGGGCCAACTGGCAGCACCATCATAGAGGGAAAATAGATTGAGGTTGCTAACAATTACAGCTTGCTCAGCTCCACAATCAACACTCTTGGCATCAGCAGTCAAGAAATCAAAAGACAAATTACATTAGGTAAATCTGCTGTCAGGGACCTCTCTAGAGTACTGAAAAGCAATGATGTCAGTCTAGAGACCAAGGTATGCTAGATCCAGGCCATGGTCTTCACAGTGATTTACTATGTATGCATCAGAGAGCTGGACAATGACTAAGGAAGACTGTTGAAGAATTGATGCCTTTGAGTTGTGGTGCTGGAGAGAAGTCTTGAACATACCATGGACTGCCAAGAAAACATATAGGTCTGTCTTCAGGAGACTGAACCAAGTTTCTCCTTGGCCGCTAGGATTTTGAAGTTCCATCTTGCCTACTTTGGGCATGTGGCCGGGAGGGACCTATCCTTGGAGAAAGACATCATACTTTGAAGAGTGGAGGGACAGTGCAGGGGAGGAAGACCCCTGAGGAGATGGATTGACATAGCACCTGGGGCAACAGGGGTAGGTGTGCTGGAGTCAGTGAGATTGGCTCAGGACAGGACAGGCTTCAGAGCTATTGTATATAGGGTTGTTATGAGTCACAGACAAATCGACGGCACTTAACAAATAAGCTTATAAGGAAAAGAACTTCAAACCTTATTACTGTCTAGTCAGAACCTACTCCTGGCTGAACAGTGAGTCCAGGGTGTTTTCAGAGGCAGTAAATTACATGAGAGGAGATGATGCCCTTCTTTCTCTCTCAGGTAAGGAAAATAGGTGTCTGCAAAAGGATGTCTCTTAGCTTTACAGAAACCACAAACCACAGAACAGGATCTTCTATTCCAGGTAACAGATAAGGCACTACCTACAGGGTGATTCTGAATCATCGGACTCCAAGGACTACTGAAAGTGGAGATGCCTCCTAGGGTTTCTAGAAAGGCCATAAATCTTGAAGGAACCAGATTGCCACATTTTTCTGCCCTCCAAGCAGATGGTGGGTTTGAAACGCCCTTCTTCCCCTCAGCAGTGGGAGCTTGGCCCCTGCGCCTCACAGGTATGTCAACTTAGTTTCTCCAGTTAGTCTGGGATAGTTGAGCCACGGAGCTCCGGACTGCTTGCCTGCGCCCACTTTATAAATTGCTAAACGACCTAAAAGCATAGAATTGGAAACTGTAAATCATTACAAAACAAAACAAAACACGCCATTTTTCCGTTGACCTGCCAAGGCTGAGTAAGGTTCGCTTTGTTTTTCAGTGTGTTGGGTCTGCTGGATGGTGCCTTCCTGGGGGGATCCTCTCTTCTCCAACCTGCCAAGCGGCGGGTGCACTTTGGAGAACCTGCAAGCAGCTCTAAGCTTTGTAGGGTGGAGGGTGTAGGGAGGGTGTGGAGTTTTAATAGCCACAACCCCCTCCAGAGGGGTGGAGGTGCTGGAGGTACTGTCTGTAGAAATCCCCGGGAAATCTTTGCTGTTGTCTGACCCCGGCGGGGCAGGCAGTTTTCCTAACCTTGACTTTGAGCCAGCCCTCTTCAACCTCATTCCAAAACGACACTGACGTTTGAAAGAAAACGAAACCGCCCTGTTTCCAGCATCCAGAAAAGGGTATCCCTCTCCCGGGAGGCTTGGGGCAACTTCCTCGCGCCTCTGCCCAGGGATTTTAAACCGTCCTTGGCCCCCCCGCTCGACCCCCGAGATGCCCATCTCGACCCCTTCTCCACTTCCCTCTCCAAACGCTGGCAGGAGTGGGTGGCAGCACCGAGGTGATTTTATTCCTATTTTTTTCCCCCTCATGGCTCTGTCATGGAAACGCTGACACAACCTCCAGACGGCGGCCGGGCCCAGCCAGGGACTGAGGGCTTTTGGGACCCTGCGGGAGCTCCGCGCGCACTCCGCGCTCCGCGGGAAACAGCTGGACGCGACCATGTCCCGGGCAGGGGCGGGGGGAGCGCGACGCTCCGCCCCGGCGCGCGGCGCCCGCCCTCCCCCGGCTCTCCGCAGGCGCCCTCCCCTCGCTGGGGGCTGCGAGTGGCATTTGGTAAAACCCAGCCCCGGAATATATAGATCATTGGAGCGCAATGAAGTAGCTTTTGGAGAGGAGGGAGGGGGCCGTCCGACAGCCACAGCGGCCAGCGAAGCGGCGGCGGCCAAGGCAGCACCATCACCGCTCGCAGCCCAGCCTCTCCGGCCGCGAGGAGGCAGCGGCGGCCGCCGGCGGGAGCGGAGGAGAAGGCGGCGGAGGAGGAGCAGGGGCGCGCAGCCGGTGGGGCCACGCATCCCCGCACTTCCAGAGCAACTCCGGCGCCTTGCACACCCCCGCCCCGGGCTGGGGGCTCCTAGAGTGGCCGCGCAGCCCACCCGATCCTCCACACCAGCCCTGCCCACTCCTCTCCGGCAGCTCCGGGACTCGAGTCCGCGCGCCCGGGTCCTCGCTCCTGCGCCCCGGGAGCGCCGCCCGGACACCCCGACCCCGGCAGGCAGGACAAAGCCATGAAGCCGGCGCTGCTGGAAGTGATGAGGATGAACAGAATTTGCCGGATGGTGCTGGCCACTTGCTTGGGATCCTTTATCCTGGTCATCTTCTATTTCCAAAGTATGTTGCACCCAGGTAGGGGGCGCGTTAGCGTGGTTTTGTTGGATACGTATTTTCTTCTCTCCCGTGCTCTCGCTCTCGCTCCACCGGCTTTCTCTTGCCTCTTCCAACCTTACCTCTTCTTCCCCCTCGGCCACGTCGGGGCTCCCTGCTGCCCGGGGATGCCCGGGCCACGCATCACCATGAGGAGGAGGAGAGGAGAAATGCTCTGTCCTTCTCCTGGTTCAGGGCTAAAGGATGGGACCAGCAGGGGCGGGTATTTTTTTTTTTTTCCTTCCTCTCTTTTTCTTTGTGTCTCTAGTCAATGTGTGCGAGGTAGCAGGGAAAGGTAGAGATTGTGGTGTGCTGTCGGGCTTGGGGGCTTGATGTGAAGAAACGGAAACTCCCTTCCCTTTTCTGCCGCTGACTGAGGATGAAAGGGGCGCCCGGAGCCGGCTGCCCTGTGCCAGGGTGCGGTGCCTCTTCCTGGTTGGGGGCCGGGGATGAGTGGTGCACGCCCGGGCCAGGTGGCGGGTCCCTTTGGCGGACTTGAGGACCCGAGGGCTCGGCTCCCACATGTCCGGGGTTCGGTGCAACGCTGAGCAGGTGTAGGGAGACGGTGGATGCTGGCCGTTACCCCCCACCCGATGGAGCAGGGGCCAGCCCCAGCCTGGTTGTCCCCGGGGTCCAGCTCCGTAGTGACCTTGGTGTTGGAGGCCTGCTCCACCTCATCTCCACGTCCCCGGAGACTCTGCCCTGGGGGACTCTGAGCTCTTGGTTCATGGCTTGGCCTCTGCAGTTTTGGAAATAACTTTGGCTGGGTCCTGGCCTGGCGGTCTGCTTGCATCTCTCATTCAGAGTTCTGAGCCAGCTGAGAAGGAGCCCTTGACCCTCAAATCTGACAGTTGGACTGGTGAAGGGGCACGAAGTTAAGTTTGGAACCTAGGGTAAAGGGGAGACCTCTTGCGTTGCTGTAAGGGGTCTCGCAGCCCGGTTCAGAAGCCCAACAGGTAGAACCCTCAGAGGAGGCTTCACCCCGCCAAGCCTCCATCCCCGCCCCGTAGGAGCCCCCCACCAGGCCACGTTGGCCCGGAAATCCCATTTTTAAGGCGCCCCATTACCTTTCTCTGTATAGTCACAGCAATACTTTGCTTTCTTAATTGCAAGGAGGAGGGGGAAGCTAGAAACACATTTCCTTCCATGGAAATGGACTTATGTCTTTTTTTTTTCTTTTCCTTTTCCATCACCTTTCCTTTTCAATGTGTATCTGGCACTTTGAGAAGACACAGCCCAGAATCCATCAAGCCTGCTAGTTGGTGTCCAGGGTAGAAGAATCGAGCTGTCCTGTCCAGGGCTTGGAGGCAGCGAGATTCCTTGACAGCGCAGGGACCAGGCTGGCCCCTCTGCCGGGTTCCATTTTCCAGGCCGCCTGGGATCTGGTCCACCACCAGCACATGCAACCTCAGGACATCCGAGCCAGCCCTGTAAAAGATGGCTTTTGTTTGCAGCAGGCTATTTTTAGTTTTAATGTCAGCCAACTGCAGGGGTATTGGTCTCCTCACCCAAACCGGTGGTTGTGAAACTTCTAAGGGAATTTAAAAATGGACCTCGCTTGCATGCTGGCAGCTAGGCGGTGGCTGTAATGGGCAGGACCAGACAGACAGGGCCATCTCGGAGTGCCAAGCTCCTGGGGCCAGGCTCCACCCTTCTAGACTGTGGGACTGGGTGGTATGCAGACACTTGGGGGCCCAAACACCTAAAATAATGGGACACGTTCTGACCTTTGAAAGTTTAGCTGGGGCTGCCCATACAGCTCCTTCTCTGCAGAAAAGCCTGGAACAGGGATGAGGACCAGCCTCCCAACAGCACTGCACCGGAGCGTCTCCGGATCCGTTAGCTTTCTGAGCGTCTGGTGCTTGTTATTCTGTGAGGGAAATAGCTTTCTAGCTGGTGATGCTGGGAAGGGACTTCCTCCTTGTAATTGGCACTTGCCTAAAATTTCCTTCACTCGTTAGAATAGCATGCTCACTTGAAATAGCATTTGCTCTTTTCAGGCCAGCCTTTTGGAATCAGGGATGGAGCAGAAAAGCCTTTTTTAAAGTGGAAAGATACTTCTCTCTGTATTTGACATGCCCTCAGCTTTGGCTTGCCTTGCCTTTATGATCCTCCGTGTTTGCCGGGCAGTTTTGCCTCCAAGAAATGGCGTTTGTTTATTATTCATGTTTCTGAGTATGCTCTTTCAGTATTTCATTTCTTTTTCTTTTTCTTTTTTTTCATGCTATTGTTGTTAGGTAACTAGGACTCGTAGCCGCTCTAGCCACAGCACATCTGAAGTTTGCCCTGTCCTGAGCCATTCTCACTGATACGTGTCAGCCCACCTGGTTGAAGCTTTCCTGTTTCTCTGATCCTCTGTCTTTCCCTGATATGATGATGTCTTCTTCCAAAGTCGGGCAGCTGCTGAGGACATGTGCAAAGTATATGAGAAAAAATGTTACCATCCTGGCTGTGAAAGTTCTTTTGGGATTCCATGCGATATTCAGTACTCTTCTCCAGCACCACAGTTCAAAAGCATTGCTTTTTTTCTTCTTCAGCTATCCTTATTCTTATGAATAGAAAATGTTATTTGTAATTCTTTGTACCTAATGTATGACTGTAGTTTCATTGAGCTCGCTTATAGCTGAGTAGAACGTGATTCATATCCAGCAAGAGCCTAACCAATCAGTTGTAGGTAGACAGACATCTGAGCCTGGAGGACACGGTAGAACTTCCCCATACCTTTTCAACACTGTCATCAAGCAGATGACCACAACTACTGACCTTTCAGCTAGTGCCTGGAAGCTTAATTATTGCACCACTAGGGCTCCTTTGTCCCACTGAAAGAGCTTGCTAATTTTGCCTTCCATGTTGTTCCATGAAAACTCCGTGTCAGAAGCCTGTGATTAAACAACCAACCACATGGAGTCAAAAGAGTAAAAACCCCAAAGTCAGGAAGAGGTAGAAGAGAAAGATTAATAGAGATGAGAATTACAGAGAGGAAGTGGGCAAAGTGCGATTACATTGTGGGTCTTGTGATTAATGCTATGAGACAAAATGTGTAGTTGAGCAAAAGACCTATGTGCTTTGTAAAGTTCTGTTCAAATCGCAGTAAAAAAAGAGTGACGTGAGACATAGAAATTATGCTTTGAAATTTATTATTTTTTTCATTTCATTAAAAAGTCCAACTGATAAAGACTGATGTTAAATCCTTTTCAAACAATAGCAAAATTCAACAGAGCAGCAAACAACAAGTGCTGGTGAGGTTGTGGAGAAACTGGAACCCTGTTCATTGTTATTCACTGTTGGTGTGAGTGTAAAATGGTGCAACCACTATGGAAGGCAGTATGGCACTTTCTTGAAAAGTTGCAAATAGAAATACCATTTGATCCAGCAATTCCACTAATGGGAATATACGCTAAAGAAACCAGAACTGCCACTCAAGCAGATATATGCACACTCATGTTCATTGCTGCTTTGTTCACAAAAGCAAAAAGGTGGAAACAACCAAAGTGCCCTTCAACAAACGAATGGATAGAGAAGCTGTGGTATATTCACACAATGGAATACTTTGCTGCATTGAAAAACAAGGAATTCATGCAATATTATTCAAAATGGTGACCCTAGAGGACATTATGCTGAGTGAAATATCTCAGTCACAAAAGGACAAATATTGCATAATGCCACTGTTATAAAACAAGACTGAAAAGAAAAGAGAGGATAAATAATGTACATGGCATTGAAACAGATGAGGGAGAGAACTGTATAAAAGAAATATACAGGAGTCCAGAATAAGAGCTGCATAGTAAAGTGGACTGGAGTATGGGATTGTATAACAATGAAAGTTTGTTTGTTTTTTCTTTTCAAAGAGAAGAGTGAATTGGGGAGTAGGGTGGGCAGGAAGGAAAATGTGCAGCAATGAATGAATGAAAATCCATGTTCTCTATAAACTTTTATTAAAATCTCAATTTAAAAAAAGTACTAAAGAAAAAAAAAAGTACTCAAAAGCAAAGATGAAACTTAAGTAAACTTGATCCAAGCCATGATATCTTTAATCATCTTGCATGCATGTGAAAACAGAAAATAAATAAAGAAAACTGGGGGGAAAAATCCATTTCAGCTGCTTTGAATTTCTTTAAAAGTCCCAGGACCTTTGCGTCTTGAAGCATCTTATAGTAACTGATCCTTTAACCAGGCTCTGCAGGTTCAGTTCTGGATCGCCCTGGGAGAAGCAGAAGGGACCACAGCTTGGCACTGATTATGTTGCTAAAAATTGGGAGCCCTGGGGCAGGAGTTCCAGTCATCTGTATCAGAAATAGAAAAAATAGTACTGCACCAGCAGTGGATTCCTGCTTCCAGTGGTGGGAGGGTTTACCTGGACAGAGGGAGAGCAAGAATAAAAGAGGACCAGCTGGCAGAGGGCTGGCTCTTTTTCCTTCAGATTCTCATCTGGCATCCTTTGTCTTTTGTATTTTTCTAATTAAAATAAGTTTGATTAATTAACTACCAGGGGGTACCAGGGTTTAGCAGAAGTGTGTCTTATCAGTAAATATGCCTTTGACACTTCTTTTCTAAGAATTTTTTTTTTTTAGGAGTGGAGTTTTTAGATCCTGTTCAAATCCCAGTATTTCCCACCAAAGCCACACCTCTTGCTGTGGAGTTGATTCTAACTCATGGTATCCTACTTATGTCAGAGCAAAACTGAGCCCCAGAGTTTCCAGTGGGTAATCTTTTGGGAGGAGATTGGCAGACCTTTCTTCAGAGTGCTTCTAAGTGGTTTCGAACTGTCAACCTTTTAGTTGATAATCTTGTGCTTAACAACTTGTGCTATCCAGCTAGTGTCCAACTCATAGGTATTCAGGAAAATATAAGGAGCCCTACTTGTTCGTAGGGTCTCCATAAGTCATGGTTGACTAAGTGACACCCAACAAACCAGCTGGTGGCTTATGGATTATGCATTGGCCTGTTAACTGAAAGGTTGGCTGTTCAAGCCTAACCACTAA